AGTGTCTCTTGAGTTGACACAAATTCTCAAATCCCTGCGTTTTCCTTTCTGCTTTAGTCATCTGCCCACACCTGTCATCATGGAGATCTTTTTCTTCTTTGACTGTTACATGTGTATTATGTTCAGTATCTTTCTACTTTTCTCTCCTAATTACACTTCTTTATGTCATTGTTACTCTCCGGCCTCATGAAAGTATTAATTACTACATGGCTTTTTTTTCTTTCCCAAGCATTTCCAATGTGCTAATACAGGGAGATGTGGCTAAGTCTTGCTTTTATTCAAAGTAGCCTTTGTTCTCCTTAATGCTTTTACTTTTTGTTTCATATTGTGAACCTCAACCTGAATTACTGTGTCAGTCTCGCAAAACATGAATTTTGGAGGAAAGTTATCTGGTGAACATATAACGACATTCATGAAGAATAACAGTTGGTCCTGTACGTTAGGAGAAATCTCCGAATCCAGTGCCAGTAGGAATCAGAATAAAAATCAGCGGAGACATTTGAGGTGAGTGTTGTTCAAACATGACAAAACAGTGCAACAGGAGGAAGTCCTAAGGTGCCATAATATTAAAATACATGCTGGATTTGAACTGCCGACCTTCTGGTTAGCAGCCAACTGTTTTACCCACAATGCCACCAGAGCACCTTCATACATATGCATGTATGTGCACACACTCGAATCACTTCATAACGGTACGGCAATTGCCAACGTGAATGAGTGCAAGTGTATGTGTTACATAACAGCTGAATCTGTTGCATTTTGATCCATGTCGGAAACAGATTATGGCTCCCCACACAGTTTTTAATACGTGTTGCTGTCCAGAGAGCTGCTGGTAATCATTACCTGCATAGCAACGCGTTTAAATCAGTACAGTTGTCAGCAGGTGAGTGGGGCACTTTTATTTGTTTCTTACTCAGGTCAGAAGAGTCAGGCAACAGGTTTGATTGTTACACAACTTGTAGGCTGCTACCATTAGTAGAATCAGTAGGAATAGGTTTGAAATCTTGAAAATACTAATACATCCACACACGTGTGTGTGTCAAGGCTATTGTAAAATATGTCCTGGGAATTTTCACAGTATACTATTTTTATAATGTGAGCCAGGTGTTGACTACTTGAAATGTTTATACATCATTTGCATACAATTGTTAGAATGTCTCATTATTTATTTATATATATATTTTTTATTTTTGCAATGTTCCCTCCACTCCCCTCCCAACCCTGATAACCAACAAAGAGAGTTTCCTTGCATATATAATCCTTTCCTTGACGTTTTACAATAGTGAGCTATTTTGTCTCCCTTGTGAGATTTATTCCCAAGTATTTTATTTTTTTGGTAGCTGTTGTAAATGGTATTGATTTCTTTATTTCCTTTTCAGCAATCTTTTTGCTGGTGTAGAGGAATCCAACTGATTTTTGTATGT